AAACACATGTTCCTTGGCTGAGCGTAAGGCTGTGTGCAAAAAGAGTTGTTCAGAAGATATATAAGTCTATGGATATATAAAGAGAATACTTTGAGAAAATGAATATGGATGCCAGAAAGGAATAGGGGTACTAGCATTTATTCCCAAATTGTATGATTAATATTATTTATAGGGGTGAATGAACCTTTAAAGATTGCCATTTGAATCTGTTTGGTTTTGAAGTTCAAACGCAAAAAATCTTTAAATGCCTTTTGAAATTCCAATTAAGATTCAGTCAAAACCCATCACTGGAAGAATAGTTTTTGTTTTACAAATTAGCAATTAAAAAGTGACAAATATCTTGGATGCTTAAACACTCTTCTGCAATACCCATTATGTTCAAATAATACTTTTTCTGGGAACATGAGTATGTTCCCCAGTATTTCCTTTTTTTTTTTTCTTTCTCTGAGGAATGCCTCTGGAAGCTCTCTATCTAACTCTAAAGCTGCACACTCTTCACCAGTACTGGGGATTATGCAAATTATTTCATGAGTAGTTGAAAATCACATTCATGTTTTCTAGTTTCAAATTATAATACCGGTGGCTTATTTTGCTTTTATGTTTATTTTTCTACTGTTTTTTTTCTCCGAGTTTTATTTAATTATTTAATTTAATTATTTTAATTACTTATTTCTTCAGTTTTCTTACTAGAGTAGTAATAATTAGGGAAAGTAAACTTTTTTGTACTACAACAGCATGTGAAGTCTTGAACCGAGATTATTTCCCTATTTTAGTAATCGTTGTTCATGTTAAACACGGCTTAAGGCAGCCAGAGCTCTGAAGAATAGGCATTCCATGAGCTGATGTGTCTTAACTCCGGAATATTATGTGGGGTTTTATTGTTAATATTTCTCTCTTTGTGACAGTTTCTCCGTAGAACGTGGCACCACTTTAGCAGAATAGCAAACATCAACCGTTGTATGTATTAATACTGTGGAAAGCAATTTAGTGTTGTATCGTTGTAAATTATGTCCCTTTACTAGCAGGTTGTTTTATTATGACAAAGACTTCAATTTTATCTGTTCTCATGGATGTGAGGATTTATTGTTTGTGCAAGGTGCCAGCGTACTTGAGAAATGATGAGAATAGTTCGCCAAGAGAATAAAATGTCTGTCTCTCAGAGGAAGGAGGGCAGAATGAATTCAGACATAAACTGTGACAGAGAAGAAAAAGTGGAAGAAACCATAATGAGGATGTAGGTCACCAGGTCAAATCAACAGGTCAGAGAGGGCTATCAGTGAGAGAATCCTAAATAATAGTTATTGATCAAGGAGAGTCAGTGACCACTACACTGATAACCAGTAATTTCAGACAGTGCAGTTAGGGATTTAGTGAGCATTAAAATTCTTGATATAAATAGGAAAAGAATGAGCATTTCTACTTTGTATTTGAAGTTGGGCCTATATCCGAACTCAAACCTGAATTTGGGTTGTGTCCTTAATTTTGGGTTACTCATTTGCACTCAGGTGTGGGCCAAGGAATATGTTGTGAGAAAAATTTTGGGTCTGTGCTGTTCCTTGCAATAGCTCATTCACCACCCCTCAGCATGCTTGCCCAACCAATGTTAGTTGAAAAACTGACTACAGCGTCCTTTCTGCAAGGGTCTTGGCGTCACCAGCTGCAAAAGGAGCTGGGATTTTAGGCAGCTGTAGCTCAAACTTCCCTTGTAATATTAAGGCTGCACAGCACTGAGGTATTAGTTTTGGGCTGAAGTTTATTTTCAATGCTTCAGATACAGACTTAGGTTCTAGCAAGCAACCCACAAAACAAGTTAAAAGCACCCTTGGAAGCAGTCTAATATAGCCTAAGTCCACCCACTTCTATGTGAGTTCTGATGCCTTCTTCTGCTCTCCACCTAAATCCAGCCACCAGAGAGTTACTGAAAGGCGCCAGTTTTTTCAAGACAACATGTTTGGGTGAAGACTGTCATGGGAAGGAGAGAAGAACTTAATGAATTCTGAGACTACCGAGTTTAGACAGTCCTAAAAAATAAGCAGAATAGCTGGGCAGTATGTGTAGTTAAATATCTAAATTTAAGATAGACGAGATTTAAGTGGATCCTGCCTCCTTCCTCTTTTGTGGTTGTGTATCGAAATACAAAATTTTCTTTTGTTGACAAAGTAAATTATGATTATCAGAAGGAACAAACTCTGTTAGAGCAGACTGGATGTCCATGGAAAAGCTGTATTCCTAACTTTTCACTATCTTGCAATGGAATGGAAATACCTTTTTTTGGAACCCATGATAGACTTGATATACTATAGGCCTTTCACATAATTAAACAATTTTCCCAGTTATGATTTTTAAAAATGTTTTCTCTTCTGTGTTGACTTTAGCAAAATCAGATGCACTTTTCAAATAGATTATTCATCACAGTCTGATTCTGTAATGCCTCCAAAATGTCCTCATGGATAAAGCAGTATGAAGACGGAGTCAAGATTTAGCTACATCTCTAAGGCGAGGGTTGAGGCGTAAAGAACTGCAGGCAGGAATGATGAAGCTCAAGGGTTTTATTTTAACAGAAATCTGCCCTCCTACCCCAAGCTGTGTATGCTTGTGTTTGCTTCTCTACTTTGTTACCATATGTCCACCCAGCGTAAAAGAGTCAAGAATTTGCGTACACTCCGTGTTAAAGTATTGTTAATGAGTATTGTCTGCATGCTTCACATCACTCAAATGTACTGCGACGTGAATTTTGGCAGGATGCGTGTGGTATTTTTACAAGGAACATACCTGTGTTCGCGTGAAGTTTTACATGTACATATGAGAAACGTGGATAAAAATATACTTCTAAGCAATTATTTGGTTAAAGATTCAAAGGCTGTGCCTAAACTATTTGTTCAAAGGCTGGCTTCTCAATGGACCACGGAGCACTTCCCAGCTCATTGCTGTAGGCTCCCTCTCATCTGTGACCTGACCGCTGAGATGAGACATGGACATGCACTGTCCCCCTTGTATGTGCTCTGACTTCTGTGGGGAGGAACCTTGAGCATCAGGGATTGCCGATGTTCCCTAGTTATGCTCTTGATTTGGACAATGACAGGACCACAGCTGCCGTTTGTACCATGCAACATGGCCAGAGTGACGTGTAAAAGCTGTCTCACCCTATATCAGTTGACTAGGGGCATAATTACTGGAGAACTTCCCAGATCTAATTGAGATAAAATAGTGACATCAGGTACAGAAATGCACTCTAGTTTAAATCACTGTTAGGTCGGTGATATGTGAGTGCCTGAAAAATTTATCTCAAATGAGAATTCTAGATTGTTCTTTCTGCAAAACTGCGAGGGAATTTCAAGAGAGGTCCTACAGCAGTTTGCCACCAGCCTAATTTAGCTGAGAAACCCAAGTCTAATAGCCATAGCTGTCTCTGTAGTCAAGGGAGAATGACCATCATTGGATCAGCAATTTATATCTTCTGTGGGCTGAATTGTCCTCAGGAGATGCCTGCCTCTTTCTGTGGTCTCCAGGAGCAGGCTAGGCTCCTAATTTATGCAGCTTGCTTGAGCACCTGAATTAGAAGGAGAAATCTGGGTCATGACTTCTGTATTTTTGGTGCATTACAACTGCAGAGACAGGAGTTGGTCAAAATAAGTTACTTTAATTTGAAGCTAATCTTTGAAGTTTCAAAGAAAGAATATGGCTTTGTGAGCCATCGTAGTTGATAGAAGGGAACTGCTTTGTTCTTCTAGTTTCTCAAAAGTAACAAGCGATGGGACAAGAGGAAATGGCCTCAAGTTGCAGCAGGGCAGGTTTAGGTTGGATATTAGGAAAAATTTCTTCACCGAAAGGGCTGTCAGGCACGGGCACAGGCTGCCCGAGGAAGTGGTTGAGTCCCCATCCCTAGAGGGATTTAAAAGCCGGGGAGATGTGGTGCGGAGGGACATGGTTTAGTGGTGGGCTTGGCAGTGCTGGGTTAATGGTTGGACTTGAAGATCTTAAGGGTCTTTTCCAACCTAAACTATTTTGTGATTCTATGATTCTAGTTGTACTAGTTGAAGTAACATTTCTGTAATTTTTTAACCCATCGTATCTGCAGCATTATCAATAGAAAACCCATTATGGGTCATTGATTTCTAAGTGTATTTAATATTTAGCTTGTTTTTTACTGCCTTTTATTTCAAATGTTTTAGTAAAGGAATAATAAAAGGAAGTATGTTATCACTGAAATAGAAAATACATTGCCCATCATCAGGGATAAGCTAAACAATACTAGAGTGTACATGACATGTTTCAGCTTTAAAGAGTCCTACAAATCGTAGCGAACATCTCTTAACTATTTAAGCCATCAGAGAATTGTGAATGTTATTCTTGTTTGATCCTTCCCTCTGGATTTCATACAATGTGCTTGATTCTTATTACCGGCAGGGTTTTTTTAATTTACACCTGTTGACAATCTGATGTCCTTGGATAATTGGCCATGTGGGTGAATGACTACCAAAAGTTTGTCTAAACATCAAATATCTGCATGCATAAATTGTTAAACCAAAGCATTTTTCCTCCTGTATAGCATATAATTTAACCCATTATTACTGCCACCTTTAAAGACTGCATACGCCTGAAAGCAGAAAATTAAATACCTGTTTGCCATTAATACAAATTATTATGTTTTGACAGCTTGCTAAGCAACTAAAGTAAAAATGATGCTGTACAAATAGCGCAATTGCCTTTTAAGTAACTTTTTTTATGTGCATGAGAATTCTCCTTGTTTGCACCTTTGAACCCTTATAGGTTTTGTCCTCTGTGATATGTTAATATTCAGAAGCGTAAATAAAGCTTTATTTGAGTTGTGCTCTGATGCAGAATGGATTTCTGAGTGTAATTACTGTATGCATAAACTTGGGAAACATTTGACCATCACGTGCTGGCTATAGATGTTACTTCTACTGCGGATCGTATCAATTAATGCGCAAATAAGCGATTTGGTATTGAGCAGAATGTGACATAAGGATATGCACTTTATGCAATATTCAGGTATGGGCTGTTTCTGGGGAGCCGAGAGGAAGTTTTGGACACAGAAGGGAGTCTACTCCACTCAAGTGGGTTACGCAGGAGGCTATACTCCAAATCCTACCTACAAAGAGGTCTGTTCTGGTAAGTCTCTCTTTGGTTTTTAAGGATTGTGAGTAGAATCCTATCAGATTATGAGGGACAATGAAGAGTACGAGTGGCTGCAGCGACTAAAGGGATTGGGTATTTAGTAAACCCTGGTATTGGCCTTGCATGCTAAACTGTAATGAAATCTATGGTATGCCCATCCCATTGGTATCTCCTAATAATTAATGAGTTAATGTATGTACAAATATTCTGAGGAAAAAGAAAAAACAGCTTCTTCAGGAAATATTCTGTTTCAAATTATGTAAATGTGTTCCTTAGAAAAAGCATGAGTTTTGATTTTACTTTTGTCTGTATCTGAGTACGAACAAAAATCAGAAAGCACGCATTCTTTCTTTTTCTTTCCATATAACAAAGAAGTTGTATGGAGAAGTCTAAATTTCTCGTTTCCGTTATGATTAATAATTTGTTAAATTTTCATACCGTTCGATGCACTGCATCCTATCATTTCCACGCCAAACCCTTGCATTTATTTTTCATGGCACTCTTATACTAATCCTTCTACAGTACTAATAACCCAATACAGTTTCTTTCTGTGATCTAAAACATAGAACCACTGGCAGCCAACTGACTAATGTTGCTGTTAAAGCAAATTCTTGCTTTCCTATACTCGCTAGTGGAGAACAGCTTGGAGGTTTTCGTTTGGTTTATTTTCTTGTTAACACTTTTTATGCCAAATGCTGAAGTTGATATACTGTTCTCACTGACAATCTGTCACATAGGCTTGATAGAAAGAGCGGAAAAAGTTCAGTGGCACAAACAATAGAGTGTAAAAAGTTCTGTGGCACAAACAAATAATGGACACTTTAGCAACTGCGGAGGAGTGCTGCAAGGCACCTGAAAAAGCAGAAACTTTCTGGAAACAGTAAAAAATGCGAAAAGAGATGTTTGAAGGTGGTATTTTATAGACAATACTGAACAAATAAGACATTGCCTTATAAATGTTAAAGAAAACATACAGATTAGGGAGAATTTCTGGTGGGAACGTATAGCAGTATGCATGCTCCTGAGTGCAAATGTTTAGTGTATAGAAATTTAAACATATCTAGAACAAAAAAAAAGGATACCATGCTTTTATCATTACCTGATGCATGGATACCCAGAACTCCTGCAAAACGTAGCGATAGGAGGCTTCATCTATGGAAGGATCGGTGATGCCTGTCTTATCCAAATGGTCCATTTCTTCCTAATACTTCTGCTCTCTTGTATTTCATACTTCCATCATTTGCCTGCACTATCTGTAATTTTTATAAGCATATATGGTCCAAGACATCTCTGGTAATTATTGCCCACTCCGTTTAATGGCCTGGGTATTAAATAATTAGATTGTTTATATGGAGTAGGGATGTGCAGCACAACTTGTCTTTCCCAACGCGCTCACGGTTCCAGTACACCGAGGGTAGTTATGATGGACTGTTGTTTCTCCAAAGATACTGAGGGTTGGGTGTTGGGTTAAGGTGAGATGTGAACACAGGACAGGGTGGTGTAGCCAGGGAAGTAGAAAAAGGGTACCATCTCTTAATTCTGCGCAGTGTAGGCTGGTTTTATATTTCAGAATAGCTCCCTAGTATTGTGAGATTTGCGTTTGATTGAGATACTTTGAAAGCTTTTTGTAGCTACTTTCTATGTTGTATTTTATCAATAGTGAACAAAGATAAAAATGGTAATTAAATAATAAGAATCCTGGAATAAAGAAATGGGAAAAATCTTTGAGGTCTATATTCTGGTGGTTTTTTTAGTTAGATTTGTAGTGCAAAAACACAGCTGAGGTTATTTTTCTAGTGCTTGTTTTATACACATTTGCATTGTGGATGTTTATATGCCTCCAGATGCCGGACACTGGAGGATTTTTTGCTCAGAGATATCCAGAAGCATAAACACATATTTCATAGCCTTGTCTGTGTGAACATAAATGGGATGTGTATGTGCTTCACATTTTTGTTCCTAGTTGTGCAGCTGAGCTGAGTTGGAGAATTTACTGATTTCTGCATGCTATTTTTTTCCTGCTTAGCTTCCTCTAGCCCTATTTTATTCTGATTTTATTCTGATTTTTTTTTAGCAGTGTTTTTTTCATGTCTGAACATACTTTTTGGAAGGCTCTTTAAAGTGAGCTCTCACAAGCTCCCCTAAGATATTGCCATCTGGCTGCTTCTTTTTGCCATAGTTTTCATTGGGAAGAACAGTTCTTATGAAATAGTAGACTTCAGTTATGCACTGTGTGATTGCCACTTTCTTATTCATCTGCTCTGGCAAGATCATATCTATGGTAAACACTTGACAGTCATGTCCTCTAAATCCAGCTCTAGAAAGGATATCAGGGCTGTCTAAACAGTATCCACTTGGCAAGTCTTTGAGCTTTGTTTTTAGCCCATGCAGTCCTGAGAATCTGTGCAGGAAAGTTATTTTAGTCCAAGACCTTTCTGTGCTCTCTACTCTGAAGAAAAAAAGCAACAATTCTTTGGACGAAACATTTAGCACTTCTAAAAGCACATTGTCACCTAGACCTCAGGCAAAATGGTGTGGATTTACTCTTTGCCCTGTGCTAAGGTCACTCAAAACATATCAGCCAATGGTGTTTTTTTTTGATTCAGTTGCCTAAATGTAGGATTTCATGCCATTTGAGATGTCTGCGAATATCCCACGTGCCACGCTATAGTCACATCTGACAGTTTTTCATGGATGCCCCAGCTGCCCTTGGACATCTCAAAAGTAACTGGATGCTTATATGTGAACAACTGATTCAAATCCAAGGTATCTATATGTACATTCACTATCCATACTTCTATCTGGAGCTAAGGATGCAGGCCATGCACTGTTCATTTATGTGCATATGCACTGCTATGTGATGTGGAGGTAGGGGAGTGTGTGCCTGCTGAGGCATAAGATTTTCCAGTCTCTTCTTCTTGGATGTTCTTGAATGCATGTGCAGTTTTGATCATGCATCTGATCCATGCATGTTATACATCATAGAATCATAAAATGGTTTAGGTTGGAAGGGACCTTTAAAGATCATCTAGTTCCAATGCCCGTGCTGTGGCAAGGACATCTTTCACTAGATCAAGTTTCTCAGAGCCCCATCCAACCTGACGCTGAACACTTCCAATGATGGGACATCCACAACTTCTCTGGGCAACCTATTCCAGTGTCTTACCACCCTCATTATAAAATATTTCTTCCTTATATCTAATCTAAATCTACCCTCTTTCGGTTTAAAATGGTTACTCCTTGTCCTGTTACTACAGACCTTGGTAAAAAGTCTTTCTCCATCTTTCTAATAAGCCCCTTTATATATTGAAAGGCCTCAATAAAGTCTCCCTGGAGCCTTCTCTTCTCCAGGCTGAACAAGAACAAGTCTCTCAGCCTTTCTTCATCAGAGAGGTGTTCCAGCCCTCTGACCATTTTCCTGCTCTAACAGGTCCATGTCTTTCTTGTACTAGGGACCCCAGAGCTGGATGCCATACTCCAGGAGAAGTCTCACAAGAGTGAAGTAGAAGAGGGAATCACTTCCCTCAACCTGCTGGCCACACTTCTTTTGATGCAGCCCAGGATACAATTGGCTAGCTATATTTGGACTGCAAGCATACGTTGCTTGCTCATATTTAATTTTTTGTCTACCAGTATCCCCAAATCCTTCTCTGCAGGGCTGCTCTCAACCCATTCATCTTCCAGTCTGTGTTGTTATTGGGGATTGGCCTGACGCAAGTGCAGGACCTTGCACTTGGCCTTGGTGAACTTCATGAAGTTCATACTGGCTCACTTCTCAAGACTGTCAAGGTCCCTCTGGATGGCATCCTTTCCCTCAAGCGTACCAACTGCAGACTCAGCTTGTGTTATCCACAAACTTGCTGAGGGTGCGCTCAATCCCACTGTCCATGTCATTAATAAAGGTATTGAACAGTACTGGTCCCGATACAGACCCCTGAGGGACACCACTTGTTCCTGATCTCCCTTCAGTCATTGAGCTGTTGACTGCAACTCTTCGGATGCAACCATCCAGCCGATTCCTTATCCATTGAATAGTCCATCCATCAAACCAATCTCTCTCCAATTTAGAGACAAGGATGTTGTGTGGGACCATGTCAGAGGCCTTACAGAAGTCAAGACAGGTCACATCAGTTGCTCTTCCCTTGTCCACCAACACAATCACTCCATCGTAGAAGGCCACCATCATCAAAGACCTTACAGAAGTCAAGATAGATGACATCAGGTACTCTTCCCTTATCCACCCCTACAGTCACTCCACGGTAGAAGGCCACCAGATTAGTCAAGCGACTAAACAGTCAGGCTTTCTGCTTGGAAAGCTGATCTGTCTTACACTGCAAAAAATGAAGTTCCTGCTTGCTGATGTACCAGCAGCCAAAAGGGACAGGAATATGTTCCATGTACACTGGCCCACAAAGGTTTTTGTCTTCTTGTGTATTTAGGATGTTCCATAATGATCTTAAATAATGTCTTGTTTGGAGACCTCTGAGGACAACGCTGCCTTAAATATAATTGATCTTAAAGTCTACAGTAACATGTCACTAACACCTGTATTTAAATACCTGTCAACTGAGGAATTACTGAGATGGAGGCTTGGAGCATATTGATTGCAGTTTGATATTCTGCTTCACTCTTTACACTAAATCTTTTAGTCTTGAGTAAGTATCTTCTGTAGAAAACAAGAAAAAGCTTAGTTTCTTTCTTTTCTTCCTGCTTTTAGTATATTTTCTAGAAAGAAAGTGTTGTTTTGCTTCAAGTGGATACAGGTCTGTTTTCTACATCAGCGGTGTTCCAGTCTTCTGCTGTGTTCTTCATTTGATGGACTTCACTGGGAAGCAAAAGTGATCTGCAAACCTGGTATTAAGCTGTGTGAGGGGACACCACTTGTCTTAGAGTAGCCAGGTGATGGCCGTACTGCTACAATACTGTGTTGGTACCCCATGAAAACTTAAGCCTCTAAGGGCAAACCTCCAGCCTCATAAGCCTGGAAGATCAAC